CGGCCATGGCTCACAGGCCCAGCCGCTCTGTGGCATGTGGGATCTTCCCGGACTGGGGCACAAACCCGTGTCCCCTGCATCGGCAGGCGGACTCTCAACCACTGCGCCACCAGGGAAGCCCTGGAAGCAGTTTTAAGAGAGGAATTCCAGCGGTGTTACTGTTTGTTTCAGTAATTCATTTCCTTCTAAGGTGATTGTTTTGAAGGGTGCATATTTTTGGTAGTTGTTCACGGCAGTTATTTACGTGGCAGTTCAGTTACCTTATGTTTATTAATTTTCCCTCCAGTACCCTTCCAACAGTATTCCGGCCTAAGTATTGTAGGCTTTGGGACAGGGGCGGGGCAGCGGATAGAGTTGGTGGCTCCTTTAAGACTGCTGCTTGTTGTTTTAATAATCTGTTAAATTCTCAGTTTTAGAAAATAGGAAGGAAAGTTCAGTGGTAACAGAAGCATTCTTTCTTTTTAATTTAAATAATTAGATCATAATTGGCACTAAAATAAAAGTTTATTTAAAGTGATCTGATTATCGAACCATTAGTTTTGTTTAACCTTGTTTTCTTTGAAGTATAACTTATCATATCCTTCATAGCCACTGAAGAAAGGCGAGAAAGAAAAGAAAAAAAGCAATTTGGAACTCTTCAAAGAAGAATTGAAACAGTAAGTTTTATAGTGTTGAGAATGGCTCTCATAGGTATTTTGAGCTGATACTTATAGGTGCAGGTATGAAGAATGTAGTCTACCAATTCGTTTTTACTAACTGGCTTACCATGAGGCTGTTTTAGATTATTTTGTGGGTTATGTTTGAAAATGAAATTAGCATTTTGTCCAGCATCTAGGTTGCTTCTGTTATGTGGATGCAATTAAATTGATTTAACTAATGTCCGGAGTCCTGTTTGCCGTGGAAACAATATAGTCACTGAGAGGAGTGGTCAACCTTTATCTAAGAAAGAACAAATTAAGTGGTTTTAATGTTGAATTTCCTTCTCACCTTAGAAGTGGGCTTTATATCCCACTGCTTGATATATCAGAAGTTTGCTCATGACTTGTAGCTGAGGGACTCTTTAATCTTGGTTGTCAGTACTGGCATTACACACAAATATTTCAGGTTATTTCAAGATGATATCTGGATAAGTTCTGTTATTAAATGTGAACAAACAAATTTTGGCTCGTTATTAGTGATTATATATATTTTCAACAGAATTCAAGAAGAGCGTGATGAGAGACATAAAACAAAAGGCAGATTAAGTCGATTTGAGCCGCCTCAGTCAGATTCTGATGGTCAGCGTCGTTCTAGTAAGTGACATTTATTTTAATGTTTGTTTTTGTGACGAACTATTCCAAAAACTAAGAATTGTTTTCTTTTCCCCCTTTTAAAGTGGATGCGCCTTCAAGAAGAAATAGATCATCTGGTGGTAATACAGTTTTTTGCTTTTTTTAATTCATAGAAATTGTCCAAACTGTGTATTTTGCAGGTTATAATTTTTTCTTCTCTTTGTCCTAGTTCTCGATGATTATGCACCTGGCTCACATGATGTTGGAGATCCAAGCACTACTAATTTATACCTTGGAAACATTAATCCACAGGTAATATTAGAAAAGTAAGATGAATGTTGGCTCATATGCTGTATACTTTTGTAGGAAAACTGCTTTGTCAGTCATTAAAAAAAATGAAGTCAAGAATCTGAAGTAAGCAGATTTGGTGGAACTAGATAAGTTTCTAAAATTATCTTGTGAAATTGAGCCTTAGCGGTATGGGCCGAATTTTCTTGCTACAATTCCTAAGGGCTTGTCTCCTCTTTTTTTCTTTTCTTTTCTTTTTTTTTTTAAAAAATACATTTATTTAGCTTTGCTTTTCTTCTTCTTATTATTTCTTTTAAAAGTTTTTGGCTGCGTTGGGTCTTCCTTGCTGTGCGCAGGCTTGCTCTAGTTGCAGTGAGCGGGGGCTACTCTTCGTGGTGGTGTGCAGGCTTCTTGTGGTGGCTTCTCTGTTGTGGAGCACGTGCTCTAGGCATGTGGTAGTTGCAGCACCTGGGCACTGTAGTTGTGGCACACAGGCTTAGTTGCTCTGCGGCATGTGGGATCTTCCCACACCAGGGCTCAAACCTGTGTTCCGTGCATTGGCAGGCAGATTCTTAACCACTGCGCCGCCAGGGAAGTCCCTGTCTCCTCTTGCTGTAACTGGACTGTCCTCTGATTTTGAAATGTTTTGCTAGGTGCTGATTTTATCTATCAGGATATGACCAGTGGTAGACAATATTCTTTTGAGACTGTCCCTTTCTGATGCATAGCCTACTTCCTTATGGATTTTTTTCTTTTTCCATCTTAATAATAGCAAACTAATATTTCTGCTTTGTCTTTTATATTTTAATTCTTTCCCCTGCTTCATTCTTAATTGTTATGGGGAATGTAGTGGTTGCTCTGCATAATAAGATCTTTTAAATAATAATATATATTTTGGACCTCATTGCATACTTACTTACCCTTTTTTGTTTTCTCTGTTCTTGATTACACTGGCAGCTGGGTGCTGGAAAAAGAAAAAGTGACCAGATCCTTTATTTCTTTCATTGCCAACAAATATTTCCTCCTTGACTTAAGTGTGGTAATCATTGCTGCCTGAAAAAGGTTGCTAAATGCTGAACAAACCATTGCTGTAGAAAGCGTATTTTAGGTGCAGGATCTCAGAAGGAGGAAGAGTGAAGGTAAAGGTGTGCTTTTGATTTCTCCAGCCACCCAGCCTCTTCACCCGGCCACTTAGGTAAAACAGAATGTTTCTGGTGTGAAAAGATTTGTGCGTGCCCCATGAAGGCAGGATTTTACCCTTGTAGAGGTCCCAGTACTTGAATGGAAAGCTGTAGCATTGATAAGTCTCTTCTCATTTTGCAAAAACTGCTCTGTGCTGCATAGAGTTCTTTCTTCTTTCCTCTTTGCTTACCAAAAATATCTTATGCCTTTTAATAGATGAATGAAGAAATGTTGTGCCAGGAGTTTGGAAGATTTGGGCCCCTGGCCAGCGTGAAAATTATGTGGCCCAGAACTGATGAAGAAAGGGCAAGAGAGAGAAATTGTGGCTTTGTGGCCTTTATGAATAGAAGAGATGCTGAAAGAGCTTTAAAAAACTTAAATGGTAAGGAAGCCCATCTGTAGAACTCAGATATTGCTTTGGTTTTGAAAAGTATTTATAAAAACTCGAGGGGAAAAATGGACCAGAAAGGTAAAGGTTAAACATGAAAATTAATTTAAATCACCAGAGAGCCCTTATTTTCTTCTGAGAGTTACCAGGGTGACTTTTCTTTTCTTTCTTTTAGGAAAGATGATTATGTCTTTTGAAATGAAGTTAGGTTGGGGTAAAGCTGTGCCTATTCCTCCACATCCAATATACATTCCGCCTTCCATGATGGAACATACGCTTCCCCCACCTCCGTCAGGACTGCCTTTTAATGCGCAGCCTAGAGAGCGATTAAAAAACCCCAATGCTCCCATGTTACCACCACCTAAAAACAAGGAGGATTTTGAGAAGGTAATTTAAAAAATGTATATAGGGCCGCATCTAATTTGTAAATACTAAATCTGTGGTAGTATTTCTTTTCAACAATTTATAGAAAGTGTGTGTGTAATTCTGTTTGGCAACTCTTAAAGAAAATGAAATAACTTAGATGTGTTCCCTGCCTTAGCCCATGGAAACCCTGTATTGGGATGCTAGGTCATATTTTTATTTGTGGCTATCATTCCTTTTTTGACCACTTATTAAGTTTTTTTTTTTCCTTTGTCCACTGTTGTATCCAGGTTTGCTTAAGTGTAGTATCTAAATTTACTTTGTTTTGAGAAAGTGATACTTTGTATTTGGTTAAGTGCCTTTTCAGTTTTAGAAAGACTCCTAAATAGTTAAATTGTTTGGATGGCAGCTAGCTAATAACTTCGTTTTCAAGATCTAAGGTATTAGAATATTTGAGAGCATATATGGTTTTTAAAAAGTTAGCTACTCTAGTAAAAGCAAAGGGTGAGTATTTTCTTTTTATTAAACATAAAACCAACTTAATTTCAAGTTATAAGAATTTGTTGGTTCTATTATGAATTAATTACACTTAAAATGACAGGGCTGGTTTTAAAGGCTTGGGAACAAAGTAGCAAACTGTATGGTCAGAGGCAAACAGTTAATGATTTCACAAATTAAAATCTTTATCTGATAATTCTCAGTGTAGTACCTATTTCAGTGCATTGATGTGCATTCTGGCAGGAATGTTCTGATTCTTTGCATTTGGTGAACGTTTACTGTTCACTGAACACATCCATTTGCATTTATGTAATTGCTTAGTGTATAATTACTTCAAATGCAGTGATTGCCTGCAAAACTTGTGATTAGATGTGTAGTATTTTCAATGCATATGTATATTTTTGCTTGTTACTTGTTAACAATACTCACATATTCTATGTTTATTATCTGATGTGACTTCATATACAGACTCTGTCGCAAGCCATAGTCAAAGTGGTTATCCCAACAGAAAGGTACATGTTTTTCTTTATTATTACTGATCTAAATATAGACAATATCCCCTTCTGAATTAAAAAAAAAAATGGTGTTGAGGAAAAGGTAGTATCTTGACTGAGCAATGGTTCCTTCCCAGTACTTTTTGGGGGGGATATGTGAAATTTAACTAACTTTAGTATACTTTGCAATTTTATGTCATTATCTTTTTTGTTTTATTGTTACCAATGTAGGGTGTTTTGTAGCTTTAGTAGTTAGAATGTGTTTAATAGATTTAATCTGGAGTTGTTAGTCTAATAACATTAGACTATTGGGATGGGAAAATAGGTGTTTTAAATGTATCTTAAATTTTAGATAATGTTACATTTTGACCCAATCTGTTGTTTTTTTCCTTGGTTTCTGAATTCTCTGTGTTTAATATGCAACCTTAGTTTGAGTTTTCCTTAATGAAAGCATACCTTTATTTTTCCTAAATGATTTTAAGAAGGAATTTCTATTATTCTCATGAACACTGACCATAACTAGAAACTTCTTTCATGATAACAAAGGTGTTTGGAATTCTTTTATTTTCCTTTCTTCCTTTTTTTCTTTTTCAACATAATGTTAAACGGAAGAATTCATGCTGTAGGTATGCTCTTGCTCAGTCAAGCTAAGCCTTTTCCCAAACACAGGAACACAACACTGGTTGAATAATAACACAAAAGAATACCAAATTCTCTTTGACATTGGCCTTGGTGAGCAACACCAGCTGAACTGTCTGCGGCAGCGGGGGACCAGGAAAACATCATGGGATGGATTGGGAAAGTATACAGTTTTTGACCAGACATTGGTACGATCGACTCCAATAAATGTGGTTTTATTATAACTGAGAGACAATTTTTGTTGTTGTTGCCCAGAATAAGATAATTACCATTTTAAAATAAAATAATGCACTTTAAATTATATCATCTTTTTGTACTACACTGTTTCATTCTGATAGAAAAGTCACCTTTTTAAAAATAAGCACATAATCCTTAAGGAAAAAAGAGTGATTACAGTTCTTAAGAATCTTGAATTAAAGTTAATTGTCAGATTTTGATTTTAAATAATCATGAAACATATTAAAACTTCTTTTAAACTTTAAATTTTCTAAAAATAGATATATCAGTTACAAGCCTGTTTAAAACTATAGTGGGTTTTTTTTTTCCACTGGTAAAGCACTCACAGGAAAGTAGTATATTGGCATCACTTAAAAAGCATATATCCAGTATTAGCTTTACATGTGGCTCAGCTTATTTCTAAACAAAATTTTGAGTGTACATTTTGCTGTAAAGTCTTGACTCACCATTACAATGAATCCTTTGTTTTAAACTTGCTAAATCATTTTTCATCTATCTTTAATATGCAAGTCAAGTTGCTTTTGACTTAATTCATACAAGTTTCTGGATGTGTAGTATTTGTCCACCTAGTCATTGATTTTATATATTATGATACATAAAATTTCCCTTTAATTTGACATATAATTGACATATGGGAGTTTTGGGACTGAATCAATACCATATCTCCCTTCTTTTAAAACAATGTCATTAACCACATGGATGTTGAGAATACATTCTCATTTGGATATCAAGACCTGCATATTTGCAGACCAATTAGTACTTCTGTGAAAGAATTTTTAGATTTAAAATTCATACTTTTGGGTTTTTGCTTTAACAGTTTGAGGTTGAATTAATAATTTTAATATATAGTTTTCCCTCTGTTAAAGATTTATTAAACCTTCATATTTTTCTTTGACCTCTTTTAGGAGGTCAAAAAAATTCATTTTTTCACTATGTAGAGATTTTAGTGTCCACTTAAGTAGGTTTGTTTGAAAACTGAGAAAATAATTATAATCAGCATGAGATAAATTATTTTACTGTTCATGTACTCTGAAGCAGGGCTTTATAGAGCAAAAAAATGTCTTATTCTATAACTATATATTTATTTATATTCTAGCAGTTATATGAACTTAATTTGAGCTGGGAATGCTAAAGGTGTAATTTAGTGTGTGCCTTGTACCAAGAGCCAATATCCTTTTGCTTTTCCCATTTGTTATTTGCCAACTCTATATGGTGGAGACTGGTGAAATGAGAAATCAGAAGTAGCTATCATAAGCTGAATCATTTTTGCCTGACACCGTAATCAATGTCTAAAATTGTGTTTGGAGCCTAATAAGGTATCAGATTTTAAAAATAAAGACTTTGTATAAGCCCAGTCAACAAAATGATGACTAAAAAGTTACATATGTTTATTTTTGGCTTAAATATTGGGAAGTAATTGTTATGAAAAATGGGAAGGGCATATCACCAATGTCCCTTATTTCAGAATATTTTGGAAACAGGACTCCATTCGTTTAAGGCTTTGGCAATATAATTGCTTTATTGATTCAGAACACACAGGCAGAATTATACATGTCATGAACTATGTGAACTAGTTTGAAGTGTGGTCCAAAGGGATGTTGCCTCATTAAAGGTCAGATTCAATAAAAACTCCATCTGCTATATGTGTACCAGAAAAGCACAGGAGTTGGATGGATTTTTTTTTTTATTATTATTAACTCAGACCTTAAACTTGTTAATAGTTGTGCATTTTTATAAATTATAGTCATGTATATAACATTTTAATATCACTACAAAAGTGCTTGGTTTAGGAATGTTTTCTTTTAAAACTGAGATAGTGTGTAAGTTTTTAGATGGTTATGATAACATGTAAGCTTTAAGTTACTGATTTTATATATTTGCAGCTTTCCAGTTAGTTGTGATTCATAATTTAATGTTTTGCATTTGGAAAGTAAAATTAAGTGGGTATTTAGAAATTGAAATCTTTATTACTGTGAAGCTGTGTTGTGGTTTCCCACCCTCCCTTCCCTTCCCCTCCCACTCCCTTATCCCCATTGCCCCACTCCCTCTTAATGCACAAGGTATTAACTATGCTCCAGGTTACTTTCTTGGTATAAAATTCTGTATTAGTCAGCAGAATAATCTTTTTCTGCACAATTATAGTAACTTAGGTCAAGTGTAGTTTTATATAGTGGTAGGTCTGAATCCATTTTCTTTAACTGTGTTGTTGTTGTAGGAATTTGCTCGCCCTGATACATCGAATGATAGAGTTTGTTGTACGTGAAGGGCCAATGTTTGAAGCTATGATTATGAACAGAGAGATCAACAATCCTATGTTCAGGTGTGCATTTTTTTTTTATTGTGGTAATAACATTTACATGTAACATACAACTGACCATTTATATATGTATAGTTCAGTGGCATTAAGTACATTCATGTTGTTGTGCAGCCATCACCATAACTTTTCGCATTTTCCATAACTGAAACTCTACCCCTTAAACAATAACTCCCCATTCCTTTGGTCCCTCAGCCCCTGGCAACCACCATTCTACTTTCTGTGAATTTGATTACCCTAGGTACCTCATCTAAGTGGAGTCATACCTTATTTGTGCTTTTGAGACTGGCTTATTTCACTTAGCTTAATGTCTTCAAGGTTCATCCTTGGTATATAGCATGTGTCAGAATTTCCTTACCTTTTAAGGCTGAATAATATTCCATTGCATGTATATACCACATTTTGTGTATCCTCAGATGTGCATTTTAAAAAATACTTTAAAATTAAAAATACTCAAAGAAAAAAGTCCTAAAAGTATGAGGTTATTTTCGTAATGGGGTGAGAAGGCAGTTTTAATAATTAGACTAGAATGTGCCTGGGTCAATTTTCCAGTGATTTCCATGGTTTGATTAATTAAATAGCTTTGTTTTTAGCATTCTCTAGGAGGAAAATATTTTTCATTGTGTTTCTCAATGAAAGAGTCTTTCATAAGCAAAATACGGTAGAATAAATGAGGTTTATAAGAAACTACTTATCTTCTGAATAGTTATATCTAACACTTCATTTGCAATTTACTTAAGTCATTTAAAAACCACTGCTTTTGGGCTTCCCTGGTGGCGCAGTGGTTGAGAGTCCGCCTGCCGATGCAGGGGACACGGGTTCGTGCCCTGGTCCGGGAAGATCCCGCATGCCGCGGAGCGGCTGGGCCCGTGAGCCATGGCCGCTGAGCCTGTGCGTCTGGAGCCTGTGCTCCACAAGGGGAGAGGCCCCAACAGTGAGAGGCCCGCGTACCGCAAAACAAAACAAAACAAAACAAAAAAAACCCACTGCTTTTGAAATTATATTTTGGGAAGATCTCTCCATTGCCAGACACAGTACCTGACACATAGTGTTCAATAAAACTGATTGTAAGACTCAGCAAGATGCATACATACCTTCTGAGTATTAGTGTCAGTCACAAAGGCAGTCTGGGGTTGGGGTTAGGAAGGGGATAGATGGCAGTGGGTGAGGATTTCTCTTCAGGGATCTTTGCTTTTGGTTTTATTTAGAAGTAAATAGACAAATAATATTTCTCATTTGTTCATATTTACTTGAAGATAGTTCTCCATTAAAGAATCCAATGTTTAATTTTTGTTTGTTTTTGTTTTAGATTCTTATTTGAAAACCAGACACCAGCCCATGTTTACTATAGGTGGAAGCTTTATTCTATTCTGCAGGCAAGTATAATCAACTACTTTGTTTAATTTTGACTCTGAGGTATTAGATCTTTCTAATAACATTCTGGACACTTAACTAGGGAGATTCTCCGACTAAGTGGCGGACGGAAGATTTTCGTATGTTCAAAAACGGATCTTTTTGGAGGCCACCACCGTTAAATCCATATCTGCATGGGATGTCAGAAGAGCAGGAAACAGAAGCTTTTGTAGAGGAGCCTAGTAAAAAGGGAGCACTTAAGGAAGAGTAAGATTTTTACCTTTCTTGTTTTATATTCAGAAAAGTTGCTTTAACGGTCACTTTAATTAATGGTCTTAATAAGATGTGTTAACCCTAAAATAAAATGGTTTTTAAAATTTGTGATTGTTTAAAATAGTAACATCTCTTAACATATGCATTGTAATTTTTAAAATCTTGGCAAGTATTATAAGTGTGTGTCCTACTCAACCTGACCTCTTCCTACTGATAAAAATTATTGATGATCTCTTAAGTGATGGTACTCCAGCAGTGGAATACTTTATATTCTTATAGGAATTATTTCATGGCCCTTAGAACTCTTGCCTCTGAATGCAACGTAGAGGTAAAGTTATTTTATGGCTTAGTGAAGTCAAATGGGTGACTGCAAAGCTGCTCCATGAAGTGCCGTGTGCGGCCACCATGGAAACATTATTAGTGCTCAGTCAGCACTGCTTCAGGGCAGTTAGCCTGGTTTAAGAAGCAAAAACAAATTTAACTGTTGAAATGTTTAGAGGAAATTCTGTATACCTGAAGGGGAAAAAAAGGCCAAAATAATTTTTAGCTTATAGGATTATATACTTCACTGTCAATAAATCTTAATGCTAGTTGCATTGATGCATTGTTTGTGAGAGCATTGCTGATAGAGAACCATAGCATTTGAGAGTATATTTGCTTCTGAAGCTGTATGTTCATCATTACTTTTGCCCAGGGATCTGCATACTCAGCCCATAGGCTAAATCTGGCTACCTCCTATTTTTGTAAATAAATTTTTATTTGAACATGGCCATAGCCATCCTTTTACATGTACTCTGTGGTTGCTTTGGTGTTACAGCAGCAAAGCTGAGTAACTGTGACAGAGACTATGATTTTCAAAGCCTAAAATATTCACTCTGTGATCCTTTACAGAAAAAGTTTGTCAACCCTTGCTTTGTATCCTGTCCTAATCCTATGCAGAAGTGCTAAAGTAACAAACTTCCTTCAAAGGAGAGTGAAGACCATGAAGGTTCTTCAGTGTAATAGGATAATAGGAGTGGGACATTCGCGAAGACTCTTGAAAAAATGCCTATAATTTTAAATTTACTTAATTTGTAAACTAAAAGTCACTAAAATAATTTATTAGTTCCTGGGATAGTGTTCTTCCCCATATAAATTCTTTAAAAAAAGGTAACATATTTGGAATACGTAACACAAATCAGACTTAACACAATTTAGTCTTCCAAGTTTTATCTGAGTGGGTTTTAAAGAAATTAACTTGCGAGCAGAAAGTATAATGGCATTTGAAATTTGTATTTATAAATACTTATAAGTTAAAAAATTCGTATTCAGACAGAGGGACAAATTAGAAGAAATTCTGCGGGGGTTAACTCCAAGGAAAAATGATATTGGAGATGCAATGGTTTTCTGTCTTAATAATGCTGAAGCTGCTGAAGAAATAGTGGATTGCATTACCGAGTCATTGTCCATCTTAAAGACACCCCTCCCCAAAAAGGTATGGGAATACTTTCTCCTAATGGAACATTCAGTTAAGTAAAGGAGAGGTAATAGTTGACTTCTATTTGAATTGAAATTGGTTTCCTTTTTGAATGAAGAAGTTGACTGAAGAAATCTTTCTCGTGGAGTTTCATTTTCCTTCTGCCTGGGAAACTTATCTTAGTTATTAACACACAAATTATCAACAGATTGAAATGTAAATGAGTTACAACTTCTATCCCTGCCCAAGTCATGGTTGTGGTGATACTGAATTTCTTAAAACCCTTCTCATTAGTTAGGGTTATTAAATTATGGCTAAACATTGGCCTTATGCTGTTGATTCAAAAAATTTCAATATGGAAATATTTTTAGTAACGTTTTTTGCTGTTGGTTTTTATTTTTAATCCATTTTATGCTATCTTTTGGTATTCTAGATTGCCAGATTATATTTGGTTTCTGATGTTTTGTACAACTCTTCAGCCAAAGTTGCCAATGCTTCCTATTATAGAAAATTGTAAGTATAGTGATGTAAGTTGATATGCCTGAACTAAAATATTTAAGGGTAAGGAGCTCAGAAAAGAGGATAGTTTTGTTAATTAATACCCTCAATAATAAGAAATAATTTGAATTTCTTCATAGTTTGTTTAATATTCTAAAAATTGGATTGTATTCATTGAAGTAAACCTCTTTAAGGTAAATTATTATAATCTTTTGAAAGTTTTTCTATCAGTTTCTTGATTAACTATTAATAAAAGAACAAATAGGAAGAGTTAAAAAATCACTTTATTCCTATTGTGTATTTAGCCACTTGTGTAATAAATAAGCTGAAACACTAGAAATAGTGGCCAACAAAGGAAGAAAACAAAGGAGCATTAACTATTTATAGAATCAGTGTTTTCTGATCATCATTGTATTGGTTGTAGTTCATTGTTAATGTTTTCCTAGGCAATAGGAAATTATGTTGCTGTATATTGATATATAACTCTTCCTCAGTTCCCCACAGTTCCTTTTTGGTGTTTATTTTATGAATTAGGGAAGCTTTTCTTTAGGAACTGGCTCTGAAGGGAAATTTGGAGGTTTGGGCCCTAATCTTAGCTCTGCTATTCCTTCTTTTGCCTTGGACAGGTCACTTACCTTTTCTATTTCCTATTTTATAAAACAAAGAGGTTGGACTAGATGGCTCAAGGTATCCTAGATGTAAAAGTTCCTTGTTAATTAAGGGAACTAGTTCTTAAGGCTCTTCGTGCGATTTTGCAGAAGAAAAATTCAGAATAATAGGAGTTAAAGTTATAGTTTTAGAGTTTAAACACCTAATTCTTATTTTTAAAGATTTACTTGATTAATTTATTTATAAAATTAAAAGTCCAGAGTGGTTTTCATTGGCTAGCATGTTGAAGTAGATAAGGATTTTTAAACACATTCTATTGTAAAAAACATATTATTTGAATTTCAGTTTTGAAACAAAGTTGTGTCAGATATTTTCAGACCTCAATGCTACCTATCGTACAATTCAAGGCCATTTACAGTCTGAAAACTTTAAGGTACGTTTATTGTTTGGGTATTTTTGCCCTAGTGTTTTAAATGGGAAGTAGGCGCCGGGAAGCACATTGGAGGGCTAAAAGAGTATGTTAAGTAAGTGTAAGACATAACTTAGATGTTTCAGAAATTATTGTTTTAAAATTTACTGCCATTTTACCTTCAGTGTCAAAAAAAAGTCTGAAATTTTAAAATATGTCTAGTGTTTTGTTGGGTGTCTGTTTTAGTTTTAAGGGTTTTATTTAAACATTTTAAATATTGGTGTTTTCACAGAAAACACTCAGAAGATCACTTGTTTTGTAGTGGTATATATTATTTGGCTGGATTAGAAATATAGTTATTCATGTTGAAAGTATATTCAGTTGTTAATTTTTTATTAACTCTCAAGCTGTAGACCAATGTTAAGAAAAGCCAAACAGAATACCTTACTTATAGTTGAAAAAATAGATACACTTTCATGGGAAGAATACTCATTAAGGAAATTTTTAGCTTGGGAAGATGCCCAGTGACCCTACCATTTAGGGGATTCAGACAAACAACTCCAGTAAAATTTTTTTTGACCTCAAATTTTGACCATAAGACAGAGATTATAGAAAAGTTTAAGGAGGGGACAGAGAGAAGTGTTAGCCAGAATCAAGAAGTACTTCATCGGACCATAAAGGAATTCAGATCAAAATGTGGGCTACCTTGATATCCAGCTTTCATAAGTTTCTAAGCTAGTGTTTCCCAGAATGTGGCCTCATGTGTACCACCAGTGGTATGGGACCTTGATCTTAGGTGACTGAGAGCAAACAGTTACTGTTTATTTTTTTATTACATTTATTCTTAGTTTATTTCCTCTTTTAGTGGGGAGGTAATATTGATTTTTTAAAAAAATATTGTAATGATGAATAGATATTTCCCTTAAACTTTAAAAAGAATATTGGTTTAAAGGAAAATTTAGCAAATTGTGATGGTCATTATCATGAGATGACATTGGATAGTTATTGCCCTAAATGATAATTCATTGTCTTTTTCCTGTTAGCAACGGGTAATGACCTGCTTTAGAGCATGGGAAGATTGGGCAATTTATCCAGAACCATTTTTGATCAAACTACAAAATATTTTCTTAGGACTTGTAAATATTATTGAAGAAAAGGAGACAGAGGTGGGTATTCAGTGTATTTGTCCGATTATCTTAAAATTTATTTCTGGAATGCTGTGGAGGTATGATATGTTACAGATGTAACATTTCTTTGTGGAAAATGCCTACTGCTTACCGCTAAACAGTGGATTTTTGTTGCTGGGATTGCTGGAGCCCAGGACTTGAAATTATATGTAACAGGAATTCTCTGTTTTGTGTCCTTATGTGAAAATTGGTGACTTTTTTTATTTGATGACATGAAAGGATTTATAGTATATTAGTAGAAAAAAACCAAGTAATAGAGTAATGTATATAGCATGATTTCGTTTTGTTAAACTAAAGATAGCTGTGTAAGTAAACATACACCTGAAAAGATGCACCACAGTGGTAGCAGATTGTATTCATCACCATTCTGTGTTTTTGTTTTGTTTTTTTAACCTCCTCAATAGTTCCTAAATCCATCATCTTCATTTCTACCATCCTAATCCAGCTATCATATTTTCACTTTTACTGCTCCAACCACATGGTCCTTGTTTCTGTTTCTTAGATATGTTTCCTCCTACCATAGACCTTTGTACATACATGTTCTTTCCTCTTTCTGGAACATCTCTTCTTTATCTGAGACACTTCGGATCTCAGTTTGAGCATAAATTCATTGAGCCTTCTCAGACCTCTTTAGGTGGAACCTACTTATTACACATTCTAATAACACAGTGCACCTCTTTGTTATAGCAGTCATCGTGTATTGTTGTGATTATCTGATTGCCTGGCTCCTTCTCTGCCTCCCTGTCCCCCCCACCCCCTAATTGTACTAAGCTCTATGACAGGAGGGACTAGGGCACCAAGGCTCATTTTTGCTCATCATTGTATCCTCAGTGCCTCACATGGTACCTGGCATAATTAAGTACTTGGTAACTATTTGATAAATACTGCACAGATGAATGTGTCTTTGTCAGCTGGATGATAAAAATATATTCTTATTATATCCTCACATTGTACCTGGGAATGTTGGTTGGTTTATACTGGATTGCAAGTTAATCTTTTAGCAATATGACTTTAGCAAGCAAAAGAAAACGTTACAGTAGTATGTGTTTTTATAGGATGTACCAGATGACCTTGATGGTGCCCCCATTGAGGAAGAGCTTGATGGTGCACCTCTAGAAGATGTGGATGGAATTCCTATTGATGCTACTCCCATTGATGACCTTGATGGAGTCCCTATAAAGAGCCTTGATGATGATCTTGATGGAGTGCCTTGTAAGTTCAAATTTCAAACTCATTAAATCTAGCTAATAAGTTTGATTCCAAGCCTCTTTAATTTCCACACATGCTGATATGGAAAAAGGTTATAATTTCTCAGTAAGGTTGTCAGTCATTAACTTTTTTCTGTCTTTTATTTCTGACTTTTCAGAGTTGAACAACCCAGTAATACATTTGTGCCAAGAAAAAGGTTTCCTTTCTGGTCACATTTATTTGTTGGGACAGTCAGCCTCTTACAGTATTAGCAGGTTTTTCCTGTCTTGTTAGGAAACTATAGGCAAAATCTTGTGTTCAATTGTATGCATAATCCCAGGTGCTTGGTTTTATCAGTTCTATTTTTATTATTAGTTTTCCTAACTTATAGATTCAGTTTTCCTATTTGCCTGAAATCATTTTTGGAAATAGAAAGTATACATAATCTTTAGTACATTTGGATTATATGTTAAAATATTGAATAATATATGAATTCTGCAGTTTAAACAATAATTAGATAAAGGTACTAAAGTTTCTTTTACTTCCTCAGCTTCTCCATTTGCTTGCAATAACCGCCTCTGTGTTCTGAGTATGTGTGTGTGTGTGTGTGTGTGTGTGTGTATGTATATATATATATACACACATACACACACACACATGCATATGCATATGTATAAATTATATTTATACTTATATTTAAAAATTGGACCTCAGGTGCAGAGAGTTGGATTAGTCATAATCCTTGTTCTTGACACTAGCATTATTAGTCCATGTGTGACCTTATTTAATTTTACTTTTTAATAATAAGTGAATACTCATGAGCTCCTTAAGTCATCCTCTAGTAGTCAGAATTAATGGCTCATCTTTCTTCAATAGTGGATGCGACTGAAGACTCAAAGAAGAATGAGCCTATATTTAAGGTTGCCCCATCAAAATGGGAAGCTGTAGATGAATCCGAATTGGAAGCACAGGGTAAGTAAAAATACAATAAATACAAAGCTTTAAAAACTTGAGTACTTAAAATTTTACCAAATCATTGTTGTGTGTGTGTACATTTTCCTTTTGTATTTTTAACATGTTTCAACCTTAAGACCCAGTGTTGTCATATTTTATGTCTAGTGGCTAAGTTTTCATTGTGGTTGCTGTTTAAATTTTCTTAGATCCTTCAGTTTGGATGCTTCAAGAGTAATCAGAGAAATCACTAAAAACCTTTTAGGTTAAGCCATTTCAGTAGAAAATGTAGATGGGAAGCTGTACCTATTTGGAAATTTACTTAGAGGTCAGTTTCAGAAAAAACAAAGCTTTGTCTCTCTTATAATGCTTGACTTCTTAGATGCAGTTTAGACCTGCCTTTCATACTTGCTTGGACATGTATCCTAGCGCTTATAATCTGTAATTGTTAATTTAGTATTTGTAGGTTCTAATGAAATAAATCTTACCATCTAGCATAGAAATAAGGATGACAACATTAGTTGTCACCTCATGAATTTGAATAAAATTATAGTGTAGGTGTGAGGAAAGAAATACATTTAGTACATAGAAATGGCTATTCAAAGAAAAGATAAATGTAGATAACTTCTGTAATATAAACTTTCAGTTCTAAAGCTGGGCTTCTACTGTGCTGCTGCAAAAATGCTGATTTACCTTATGGAATTACATCCTTTTTTTCCTTCCATTCAGCTGTAACAACTTCTAAATGGGAGTTATTTGACCAGCATGAAGAATCAGAAGAAGAAGAAAATCAAAAGTAAGAATCTAAGTTTCGAATATACTCAGTTTCTTATTGCATATACACTCCCTTTTTCATTAAGAGGTATGCTTGAAATAATAGTGAAGAGGAAAACTTAACTCTTAAAAAAACTTGTTTTAAGAGGATCATTTTTAGTTCTTCATTGTTTTTCCAGTGAATAAAGAGCTTTTGCTTTCTCGTTTTGACGCATCTGGTTTCACTTTGCTTTTGAGTTTGTTTTCCTATGCTAGGTTATACATTCTTACTTTGTAGTTACTAAACGGTCAACTGCATTTATTTTAAATCTTTGTCATCAAGTATTGTTTTGGCTCCACAAAAAGTGTTTTTTAAAATGTGAATGGGAAGGTTATGCTCCTTTTTGGGGGGGGGGGATTGTGCATTGCTAAGAAAAATAATGCATTATGACCATTATGACCGTTACGTTATTTAAATGTTAACACCTCAGAAGAACTAAGAATAACTAAAAGAAAAAAACCATTTTACCTTTATTTTATGGAGAAATTATAGTTTCAGTTTTGCTCTTTGGTAATTACCCCCGGTTGATTTTGAGTTTAACACTGAATGTGATTATAGGAATTCCTGCTCCTAAATTCTCCTGCAAGTTTATGCTGGTAGTTTTTTTTTTTTTTAAGATAGCACTTGACACCTTTAAAAATCATTGCAAAAAAAGTTAATTTTTTTTTAATAGGGAAAGAGATGGCATCAAAGCAGAGGTTTCTGGTTTTTGGGGTTTTTTAAAAATCTTCTTTTATTGTTTTCATATGGAAGAGTGCACAAAAGGAAAAGTCCCTTTGTGTCCCAGCACAATTTGAGCATTTGTGTGGATTCAATAAGTGGGTGTTAGCATTTAGATTTAAGGCAATATGATTGATCAGCATTTGTGGAAACACAGTTTGGTATGATGAAGAAAACTTGGCAATGGTGATGTCTTTCCAGAAACAGTGTGATCAGAACAAGTCAGCAATGATTATGACAACATGTTTACAAAATATAGATGTGGTTCACTGAAGGAAGTACCTCTCTGAGGCTGTTTAGGAGTACAGGAATTGGAAACAGTCCAGTTTGTTTTCATTTTTATGTCTGCAGTCCCATCATTAGTAACATCTCTCACCATTGTAGAATCACTGCTTTTTAAAATGAGTATGTGTATTCATAAAATAATTATTTAAGGGAAAGGAAGGGTAGAAAAGCCATTGCAGAACCCAAATATTGTTCAAGCGGTTTTGTTTCTAAAGGTGCTAATTTTTTTGCATTGAATTTGATATTTATGTTAATGTTTGAAATGTGAAAGCATTTTTGTGTTGATGGTAATTGTACATTCATACAGTGAAGCATGGATCACTGAAAATATAATTTATATTTTTGATTTTTCCTAGGAGCTCCAAATAAGTCATGATAACATGAAAATAACTTTTTGAAAGCAGGGAAAAAAACTTTTTCACATATTACTGCTTTCTGGTCCTTGAAATTTTCTTGCGCCTCACTGCTGCTCTCTAGTGGCTGAATCCAAAATGCCTTTTTACCAAGGAGCTGCTTTTTTTGGGCGGGGGCGGGTCGGGGTACTGCATTGGGTCTTCGTTGCTGCGCACAGGCTTTCTCTAGTTGCAGTGGGCGGGGGTTACTCTTCGTTGCGGTGCGCGGGCTTCTCATTGTGGTGGCTTCTCTTGTGGAGCACGGGCTCTAGGCACATGGGCTTCAGTAGCTGTGGCTTGCGGGCTCTAGAGCACAGGCTTGGTAGCTGTGGCTCCCGGGCTTAGTTGCTCCGCGGCATGTGGGATATTCCCGGACCAGGGCTTGAACCCGTGTCCCCTGCATTGGCAGGCGGATTCCCAACCACTGTGCCACCAGGGAAGCCCTGGAGCTGCTTTTTGACACTAGTAATTATTGTCTTTGCAGCAGAAGGGTGATTAAAAAATATATATAGCACTAAGTAATGCTTTGGAGAAAAGTTCCAATAGTAATTTAATTCGTTTGTAATGAATTCTGTATGGGTTTAGTCTTGAATTTCCAGTTCTTTACAAGAAGAGCAAGATGAGGCTGTGATGAGATCTGAACCTAGAACTGGTAACTAAGAGCTAAAGTCAAAGCCAATTAGAACAGATCACTCAGCCCTTACAAAATTTAAATAGCAGCTGTAAAGTATGTGTGTATTTTAAATTCTCAAATTGTAGTGTAGTTCATTTTAAAAGTCTTAAATAATATGATTAGTGTTTAGTGTCTAGCCACCTATATTCTTTCTCTGTATGTATAAAAACATGCATATCTATTTAAAGCATAAATTATGTAATATTGTACATACTATTCTGTGACCCATGTTTTTCACTCAAGTATCATGGGTTTTGTTATTCCATGTTAGTCCATATGTTTATCTGCTCTGTATTCATCTGTGGTTGAAAGCAAGCATTCAGATAAGTGTACAAGGAAGTTTATCAAGGAATATTTCAAATTGCAAAAAATTTTTTTTGAAAAAATTGTAAGTAACAGGCTGGAATTGGTTAAGTAATCTCCATTGAATAGATAACACAGTTTCATTAGCTGTGTTGCATCTTTGTTGATTAACTCTTTCCAGAATAATCCTTCAGTAAATCTGTATTTACACACACACACACACACGCACACACACACACTTTAACCACTAAAAGCATCTGAGACACTTGTAAAACTATTTTGCACCATAAAACAAGAAATTCTCATTCTTTTAAAAAATTAGCTAAGAACTGCATTTAGGAAGTTTCTGACAAATTAATGAGAAATATTAAGTAAAAGTTTATTTCCGAAAAGAATATGTTTTTTAATCGTTGGTTTTGACTTTTTCCTCTTTTTTTCCATCACCTGAGTATTGTATTGAGTTGTGCCTATATGTGCTACTAATGATTTGTGGGGCTCTGAGAGTATAAAGTGTGAAAAGTATTTTATTAGTATTCTAGAACGGACCTTTAGATGAGAAGTTAAAAAGCTAGTACTCTCTTTATTTTTATCTACCTTGCTTAAATTTTTCTCATTCAGTGTGTGACTCTAAAATAATTAAAATTTTGTTTGGAAAGGATTTGGTTATAATTGTTTTTATATTATTATGAATAGTTTTAAATATATACTAAAAGAACTCCTCTTATTCATGGTAGAGGGTAGTTAGTACTCAAATACCAATATATAAGGGCTTATCAGGTTCAAATATTAAGGGAAAATGGCATATATTCTAGGCTGTGCCAGTAATGTTCATATCACAGTATTGTTTATGAGGAATTTTGTTTGTATATACATAAACATTTTGAGTTTGTACATGGAAGACTTGTTTTGCCCAGATCCAACATTTACACTCAAAAGGCCCAGTCCCAGAGCATACAACCTTTTTTTTTTTAAGTCCCATCATTCTTTGTGCTTCAGGAACATTGAAGAACATTTGTTAATCCTATCCTGGCAATGATGAGCAGTTTGTCATAGTTGCTCCCCTGTCTGTTTCTACTCGATTGCTTCTGGAAGGACAGGAGGATTTTTCTTTGTTGTATCCTTAGCTATGGTAGTCACTTAGTTTATCATTTTCTTTTTATCTGACATAGAACCAATACAACTTTCATAATCAACTATGACATGAATACTAATGTGTGCTAAAATTTAATACACTGTTTTGTTCTTAGGGTTATGTGTTAATTAGATAAGGTCTTTTACTTGCTGCATAGAAACTCTGTGACTCAAACTTATGTATTCTCTAGCTTACAGGCTCTGCTGAAGGAAGGGTAAACATTTGGCTTTTTAAACATTAACCATCATGAAATCACTCTGAATTACGAAGAATGCAGAAATCACTGATTGATTAGTCATTTCATTTAACTGTTGCAAGGAAAGTTTGTGGCAGAATGAAAACCACAGAAATAACATTAACATAAGGAGAATTTTTAGAAGTGTGATTATGTTGAAGCTCAAAATTTTTCTATGGAGGAAACATAAGAGTTTTATAAAATTGTTATTTGATCAGATATTTAGTAAAAAATGTTTTAGTGATGAATTGTCCTCTTAGGTTTTGTTAACATTATTTAAGCTCTAAGGCAGTGAAAAATCAAAAAGCTGTAATGTAAAATGTAATTTTTTTTCTTTGCTGTCGTGACATACAACGTATTCTTATTTATTTCCAAAGTCAAGAAGAAGAAAGTGAAGATGAAGAAGATACTCAAAGTTCCAAATCTGAAGAACATCATTTGTACTCTAATCCAATCAAAGAAGAAATGACTGAGTCCAAGTTCTCTAAGTACTCTGAAATGAGTGAGGAAAAACGGGCTAAACTCCGCGAAATTGAGGTTAGTATTGCATTGAAGTATAAACTACACTACACTGGCCTTCTTTCACTTTTCCCACCAAACTGTGCTTCCTCTTAGCATCATACCTTGGTCCATACTGTTCCCTCTCTGCCTGGAAACCTTCATACCAGCTGTCTTCCTTCAGGCCTCTTAGTTCAAGCATCTCTTCTTTCTGTTACCATTTTACATGTGTTGTGGTGTGTGTATTGTTTTTTTTTTTCTTGCTTGCTTGTTTAGTGTGTTCCCCACTAGGCTGTGATTTCTGCAAGAGTAAGGGACCATGTCTGTTGTCCGTTCATCATCATATCTCCAGTGCCTGGCACATAGGAGATCCTCTGCAGATGTTGATGTAATGAATAGATTATATCTCACATTACGAAATCCATCACATGTTGAGCATAAATAGTATGTAACAAAAAAGTGAGATATTTTCTGACACGATCAAGTTATGTATACATGGTACTGTAGTAGGCTCATTTTCAGTGTCTGCACGAGTGATGGGGAGAGAGTAGATGTTGATTGGGGCTTAACAATAAGAAGGGGAATAACTTATGCGGGAATTCAAACTCTCAAGACTTCTCTCTCTCCATTCCCTTTTCTATTATAGTGCCTTTTTAAAATTACCAAAGGTATTCAGACACGTCAGTGAGGGGAGGGTTGTATAATGGGAGCCTTCCTTATTTCTTGCCCCAAGGTGGTGGAACATTCCCAGTAAATATTAGCAGTCGTGTAGCAGTCAGTCCAGAATCTCAAAAGTGTACGTGAGGGTGAATTTTAATACTCTGTCCGTTCATTTAACAGTATTTTATATGCCTACTGGTTGTCAGTGCTTTTCCTCTTACTAACTTATGATACCTACCACCTTAATTTCCACTTCTCCACTTACTTACTGCTGGGCTGGTACAAGTTCTTGCCCACCTCTTTATCGATATCACCAAGCCAAAAAGTTAATAGAGAAAACGTTTTGTTTCAGCCTTGCACAGAATCAGTGTGATGTCAATTTTAAGTAGAGAGGAGGGATTTTCAGAGTTAGTAAGTTGATTCATTTTTCCTGAGGTATATTCATATACATTCTTTATAAAATTGTAGGGGAATAAGATGTTGTGTTATCAGTGAATGTGCTTACCCGTGGACCTTTTTCAAGCTGCACATGGCCCTTAACTCTCAGAACTTCTCCCAGTCTTACTGAACTCTGCCTTACTGACCTGATGGATCTATTGGAGTAGAAACAAAGATTGAGTTCAATAAAAAATGTATTTTCTTGATAATTGAATTACCCTCTTATAAATGCCAAAACAGACTGTTTGTAAATGTTCTGTTTTCTTATTGACTTGAAAGAAAACCTTGTGATACAACTTTTGTTAATTTGGATGGTTCTACACTGTATATGTATATACTGATTTGTGCTATACATGCATACACAGAGGTGCACATAGCAACACACTATATATATATATACATTTCCCTACTTTATATGTTCTTTGAGAATCTGGCCTCTCTCTTTGTTAGATACTCAACGGTGGTTCATCCTACTCTCATAGTGGCTACCCTATCGCAATTTACTTACCCTTTTGGGATTTGGACGTGAGCCAAATCCTGATTTTAAAATGTAGATCTTGGGTTTGTTATAGAATTATCTATTCTTCTCCCTTATTTACTCTGAGATTTAGTCGTGTGGAGTAAAGGTCCACAACTGGTGGCAAATTTGAACTAGAACTCAGGGCTCATGAGCTTTATTCATGCGTGCTCTCTTCTCTGCCCCTAAATTCAAATGTCAGTTTCTGAATTTAGAATTCAGTGAGTACCTTTTTATTGGAGAACCCTTAAATAAAGAATTAAGTTCTAATTAGTTTTATTATATACTATAGTATATATAGTATGTATAATGTATATTTATAGTGTAGTTTCTCTTTCTAAAAGCTCTTGTCTTCCCCACATGTGTCGTAATAAAGGTGTCTATAGCTGAATCTTTTTTTACCATGGGATTAATAGAAACCAAAGGATTTGTGTTATAAAATATTGACATTCTCTGCAAAGCACTTAGAAAACACGCAGCCATAAATTACAGTGTTTACTGGAAGCAAGTTCTTAATCTTTCAGATTCTGCTTAGAGCAGTGCCTAGGCTGGCATTTTCTTTTCTCATTCTGCTGTTGTCTCCGTTTCTATCAGTAAGGGTTGGAGGAGTGGAACACTAGGTGGGGAGCCAGGTGAAGGGTCTTCTTTGTTGTTGAAGTAGAAAGATCCCTTTTCTGCCCTCATCCCTGAGGAAAGAGTGAATAGTTGAGGGGAAAGGTGATATACTTGGCACTGTCCCAGGGCAGCCAGGGGATAGATGGCTAACAAGCCATTCCATGGGCTACTGTCTTTTGAGTTGGGACCCTTTGTGACCTGTTTTCTGGGCGCCCTGGACTTGTGCTGGTGCCTGAGTTAGGCCACATCAGCAGGAACTGTAGCTAGGGATTTTATAATGATCTTCAAAAGGTGCTCTAGGAATGCCTTTCTTTCACCAAAGTAGCATTCAGGTCTGTTGTTTGACTCTTGGATGCTTACCTCTTAAACTGATTTACCACAAATTAGAACAGTCATTTTTGTCAAGTCATCTCGTGTGGCTGTGCAGAGAGCACGTGGACCAACGTCTGATTACTTGAATTCTGCATAGTTGGGCTTGTCTGACAAGTGGCCTTCCGATGAGGGAGTTACACATTGATGTTATATTTTGACTGAGTCCTTAATCAGTTACTGTATGTTTTTATGTTTTATGTTGCTATACTTATGCTTTTCGTTTTTATACACTTGTTTCAAAGAAGAGAGTTTTTTTTAAAGGAGCAAAGCACTCCTTGAGAAGCTATAGTGATAAAAAGATTTATTTTAAATATGTGTTATTTCACAGCTCAAAGTTATGAAGTTTCAAGATGAATTGGAATCTGGAAAAAGACCTAAAAAACCAGGCCAGAGCTTTCAGGAACAAGTAGAACACTACAGAGATAAACTTCTTCAACGAGTAAGGAATAAGTATACGCAGTAATATGCATTTTCCAGAGTTATTTGTTTGACTGCCTACAATATTGATATATTGGCATATTTAAGGAAAAGAATATTTCAAATTATATCCTTTGTCTACATGCTGAATATTGGTAGCTAATTCGGAACGTTTGAAACTTGACGTTTTACAGTTACTTCAGCGTGGAAAGCAGTCTTAGGGCAACAGCACACTGTTTTATTCCTGATACTACCTGTGGAGCATGAAATCCTGCTAAGAACATGCTTTCAGAACTGGAAGATACTATAGAAAGGGTCACATTTGTGACAGTGAGACACCAAGAACCCTGAGAAGTAGCACAGAGTCAGAGATGGTGTTAGGGTTTGGGAATTTCATTTAGGACTCCTTTTCCATTGTGTCCAAGGAGGGACAGCAAGTGGTAGAATATCTCATCTGTGAATTCTAAGCTTTTGAGGGACCTCGTAGTCTTATACATAAAAAAGTGTGTAGGGATATACAGAGAATTTTAGAACAAGGAGGCCTACATGATAATTGTTGAAAGAACCTAGGAATTTTATCGGGACTGCTATTAATTTTTACCTATATCTTGACTGTCATTACAAATAAAAGATTATAGAGAGAAATAGAAACAACTAGAAGGGAGCTTAAAATCATACAAACCTATTAATGGTGACGGGAGCACAACAGTGTGGTAAAGCAGCTTGTTGCTGTACAACACTGTGGACTCCTGGTGCCACTGTCTGCTGTGCACTCCCAGGCACGTCACTGAAACCTGCTTTTACTCTGTAAAACTGGGTTGATAAGTCGCAATTTTGCAGGATTGTGAATTAGATAATAGCTATATTAACTCTTTATTATTGAATTAAAATGTTTAAAATATCTTGAGTGTTTTAACTGTAGTCTGATTCCTATGAAAGTGTCAATCAGGAAAATGTATCCTACAGGTCACCAGAGGAAGTCAGTCTCCTCAGCATCACTTTTAAAATTTGTGCTCAGTATGTTGTATTTGGAAAAAAGATAAATGAGTTTTTTGTTTTTTTTTTTTTTAAAAAAAGATGTTATGTGTCTGAACCCCATGAGTCCCTTTGGAGATGGTGGTAGATGTTTGATCTGCATGGAAGACTACACCTTGAGATGCCCACTGGGTCTAATGTAGTAATACATGTATTACCATTTTAGTCTCCTTGCATTCCATCGTTGTAATTGGAGGGAAGAATGTACTTTTTGAAGGTACATACTAGGGGTCAGCAGACTATGGCCATCACCTCATTTTTGTAAATAAACTTATTAAAACACAGCCATACCCGTTCACTTATTATCTGTGTATTATCTACTGTGGCGACTAAAGCAGTAGAGTAGACCGGCTGTGGCCCACAAAGAAAATATTCACCACCTGGCCCTTATAGAAAACATGTGCCAGCATCTGATGTAGGCTTTTTATCAGATATCAGTTAGCTTTCTTGATGCATACAAATCATAGAGAAATTTAATTCCTGTTAGTGGAAAGCTAAGTTGGCTTCGTGGGTTCATTGTCTATAGCCACTCCTTTAATTATCAATAGAAATCATAATTTCAAGTGAGAAGTGGCAGTTGTAGCAGTTGGGGATAAGCAAATAAGTTATTTTTTGGTTTATATAATTATATAGTCATGTAGTCAGTTTGTACTTTTATAAATTAGGATTTAACATTTCCAATATGATTGGTACTTGTTTCTCAATAGTATTAGTATTGAGTATTAATAGTATTTTAATAGTATTTTCTGATAGTATAGTATTTTCTCATGGACGAGTATTGTGAATAGCTCTTTCTCCTTTTCAACATATTACTTTGTAAGGGCTTTCCTTTGATTAAATCAACTTGCTGTACCGTTAGAATCACTGTTGACAATTTTATTGCAGTCTGAGTTGGAAAGGTTCTGTTAGCTTTTTCCAATTGTTTTTTCAAGTGGAGGGACAGCACTCTAGGTAGTAGCTAAGAGAGCCCTGGCTCTGGAGCTTTGGCTCAAATCCTGACTTCACCATCCTGTATGATCACAGGCATGGTACTTAGCCTTTCTGAGTCTCATTTTTCATCTCTAGAATGAGGATAATGCTATTCCTAGGCATGTTTTGAGGAATTACATGAAATGGTATATGGAAAATTGTTTATTAATTGCTTGGCCTGTGGTAGGCACTCAGAAAATGTTTAGCTGCTGTCACTGGCATCACTATTATTATTCAGTATAAGTAGAAGAGTAGAAGAAATGACTGGTTTTCTGGAAGAGTAGGTATTTAAAAAAAATAGTTATACCTTCAGTAGTAATTTAAAAAATAGTTAACTAGAAGAGGCAATATTGTTTCATAAATGAGATTAACCAGGTTGGTGTTTTTAATGGCTAAATACTTTCTCTTTAAAAAAAAAAAAAACAGGAGAAAGAGAAAGAATTAGAAAGAGAACGAGAAAGAGATAAGAAGGATAAAGAAAAATTGGAATCTCGATCCAAAGACAAGAAGGAAAAGGATGAGTGTACTCCAACAAGGAAAGAAAGGTATAACATTTCTCATTTAATGCCTATACTGGTTTCAGGATTTGGAATCATGTTTCATTTTGTAATATTTTCATCACTGGTGCCAACAAACTGGAAAAGTATTTTTGTGTGTGTGGTAAACATGTTTGGCCTCTGCCTGCAGGAGGCAGAATTAGCTGAGAAATGGGGCAGTCAGTTGGCACTTGGCTTAGTTATCTGGGACATCATCCCTTTACATGGTTCGTATGGTACCTTAGCCTTAGTTCGGTGCAAGAATTCAGTTACCGTATTAGGTATCAAACCTAAGGCTTAAATAACTAAACAACTTGCTAGATCTTACCTGTTGCCTCCAATATAAGCTTTTCTTCTGTGCTGAGGCTGATATCTGTAAACTTGAGTCTCCTGGTCCTGTTTGTAAAGGGAGTTTGTGTATATAGGCCATAGGGACTTGGTCCTCACTTTAAGGCTTTATTCTAATCAAAATCATTTCTCGTTTAGTTTTTATTCCTTACTTGCACAGTTCCTAAATCTCTGATTAGTAGAGAAAATTACTTCAGTTAACAGAATTGAGGTTTTCCTCATAAAAACCAAACAAATGCCAAGAAAAAAAATTTGGCTCAGTCACCCTACATATAGTTACAAATAACAGTTATACTAATTGGTTAAGTAGTAAATCTATCACTTTTTTGTTTTTTATTATTATCTTGATATAATTTCAGATTTATAGAAAAGTTGCAAGAATAGTATAAAGAATTCCCAGATATCCTTCACCCATATTCCCCCAATGTTAAAATATTTCTCCTTTTGCTTTATTTTCTTCTTCCTCTTCCTTCCCCCCTTGTCCCCAATCATTTAAGAGTAGTGTGCCTACATGATGCCCCATTTTCATACTTAACTACAGTAAAAGTTTCAAGATCAAACAACAACAAAAAGTTTCAAGAGCAGGAAATTAACATTTTAAAAAACACGATTGTCTAATCAGAGACCTTTATGAAATTTGGTCCATTGTTCCAATAATCTTTCTTAGAGCAGGAGAAAATCTAATTTAGTTGAATTCAGTTTTTGTCTAGATCAACCTATCTTTAAGACTTATTTGTTCTTAGTATAAAAGGCTTTGAATGTTGTTGGAAAATAACATTAATAAGGTTAGTGAAAATAAAGATAGTGTAAGCTGGTAGGAATTAAAAGCTAATTTAGTAGAAGGAAAATGAATACCTGATCCTTTGCTCACTTATGGAATGTTTTGGGGGCTTTGTTCCATAGGAAAAGGCGACACAGTACGTCCCCTAGCCCATCTCGCAGTAGCAGTGGTAGACGAGTGAAATCCCCATCACCAAAATCGGAGCGATCAGAGCGTTCAGAAAGATCTCATAAAGAGAGCTCACGGTCCAGGTCATCTCACAAAGATTCTCCTAGAGATGTTAGCAAAAAGGCCAAAAGGTAAACGCAAGTCATTTTTTTGTAATATTTGAAATGCCAGTTTCCTTGTCATTCCACCAGCTTTTGAAAATAATTTGGTTGGCAGCCATTTTTTAAAGGATTTTAGAAAACCAAACAGATATACTTTCATTTTAGAATCTTCCTTCCCATCTCACCACCCCAGCCTTGTCATGACTAAAGCAGAAGAAAGCTTCCAACAAGGAAAGACCAGCCAAGAATTTTAAACATCAGTTTCCTGTGGAGTAGGGATAGCTGCTTTCCTTTCCTTTCTGTTCTTTAGCTTCTATAGAATATTCTTTGATTTTTGTCAAGGCTGAAAGAAAAATACATTCTCCCTCCCCACCCAACAGTAATCTTATTAGCAAGTTCTTGGGTAGAGACTTATGGACATAGATACCATTTCTTCAGTGTTTAATTTAGTGTGTTATATACCTTTCTCCTCCTAGTTCCAGAAAGGTGGTTCAGAAATGTTTTATTTATCTAGTGTTTTATAGAAGAATTTTTCTGAGAGCTAAAACTGCTTTTTATCCTAAAACGTTTTTATTGTAACCATTTTTAGTAAAATCTTTATACAACAGATAAGTCTCTTTTTCTAAATGGTGCTTGTGCATATATTTATATACATGTTCATGAAAATTATATATATGTATATATAATTATTTGTTTTGGTAATTTTCATGAATAGCACTTACAGAGTTATGCCGTCTTAAATGATTTCCTCAAATGATATTGCAGTAGTTGGTTCTTTTCCCTTCAAGAAGATAGGCTGCAAAGCTGCTGCGTTTAAAAGTTTGTGAATGATCTTGGATGCCATTTTGAAGTTTGGCTTATAATAATCTGGGGAGCTTGTTAAAATGCAAATTCCCAGTCCCTGCCTCTTGAGATTTTGATTCAGTAGAGCAGTAGTAAGGCTCAGGAGTCTGTCTTTCTAAGCATGCATACCACCAATGATCACTGATGCAGCGCCTAGGAAGTACAAAATCTGTGTGTGTGTGTGCACACGGTAGGCAAAGCATAAACTAGGAAAGTTTACATCCTTTTTTATTTCAGTGACTTTCATTGTGCTCTCTTAAAGATCACTTTAGATAATTTAAGGATAGTCAGTTTTGATCACATGAGTACTTTGGTTAAATTGTTTTTGTTTGTTTCCTCAGATCTCCATCTGGTTCAAGGACACCTAAAAGGTCTAGGCGATCACGGTCTAGATCCCCTAAAAAATCAGGGAAGAAATCCAGATCCCAGTCCCGATCTCCACACAGGTCTCATAAAAAGTCAAAGAAAAACAAACACTGACATAAATTTTTAAGATGCTGTCACTTATTGGAAATGCGATTTTGTTTTGTGCCTGAACAGTCTGTTTTTTAAAAAAAAAACAAAAAAACAAAAAATCTAATGAAAGAGCATTCCTGGGGTTTTTCTTTGTTTGTGAATGCATGTGTAAACTCATAAGTAACTGCATCTGTAGACCTGTCGTTGTTTTATATTGTATAAATTACTTTCATTGTGGCTGTTTCTCAAGATGAGATTTTTATTGTGCTAATGAACTTCATCAAAAATGTGTATAATGGATCTGCTGGCAGTAGTAATATTTTGTTTTAGGATGTTGTGACTTAGCAAAAAAATAATACAGATGTCTTCCCCCCTTTTGTAGCTTTGACAATTTGAATTAGATTTCAAATAAAATCTGAACAGAAAACTATAACGTTGTTTTTTTGCCCTATCGATGACATCAAGTCCCTTAAAGTCCTACTTAAGTGAGTTTAGCACTTCTGCTGTGTTTCTTATACCTAATGCACTTTACAAGCTCCATTGTTCAGGTAGCTAAAGTTTTATATTTACTAAGATGACTGTCAAAATTTAGGGACCTGAGACTCACATTTGGTAGGTTTGCCAACCAGTTTCTTTGGTAAGGTTCCCTTAAGTAATACTAGTACCCAGAGATCAAAAGACTAGGCAAATGTGGTGTAGTCTTTTGTTAATGCAATGCCTGGTTAGAATATTTTTTTCTTTTTTCAGAGAAGCAATATGGTTTCAATACACTTAACCTGTGTCCTGAGCAACTACTTATTTTCAGGGAAAAATTAAATTTCCATCTTTCGATTTCATCTTCTCTCATTAGAAAAGTTTACTTAAAAGTTTTCTAATAATAGTTGGCCATAGAATTTTTTTTTGAAGGTTACCCTTTTACAGCCCTCTGTAGGCTGTCTTTCAAACACTGGTATCAGAATATTTCTACAAGGTTCAGTGTAAAGCACCTTTGTTGGGTTTTTTTGGTTTGTTTTTAAAGAATTTAGTTTTAGGTTTAGCTTTAAGTAAAATTTAGAAATAAAATAATTTTCAGGAAACTTAACATCCAGTGGTTTGTAAATTAAAGGTGCAAAAAGTTGATTTAAACCATTTGCAGAGTTGAAATCTGTAAAACAGTGGTAATAAATTGCAGTATGAGGAAGAAATAAGAAAAACTTGTGTCATGTTGAATATAATATTACTATAATGTAATAAAGGGTTATGTAGACTTGAACTGACACTACTTCTATTTGTGAATCTTGCTTTCAGTTTTTCATTTAGGCACTTTATACAATGGTTTGATGTTTTTTTCCCCCTCTTAATAGAGTAGAAAACTGTTCTAATAATGGATTGTTTTGAGTTAGCTTGTTTTTTAAAAATACCTTTTCAAGTTGTTTTACTTAGTCTTGCCTAGTCACAAAATAAAAAAGCTGTACTCATGATTTGAGGAGTAGGAATATCAGCTGAGCAGTGAGGCATGTTATTGCCAAACTGGGCAGACCTACAGTAGCTGTAGAAATGAGCCAATCAGATTATTTTACTTAGTGGTTCTTATCAACATGCAATATTGCTTGAAAGTTATTCCTTTATCATTCACTCTTTTGTTTGTCCGTATTGTTAGGGTGTTAATTACTAAATGTTGCTCAGAATAATTAAACATGAACATTTGGTGCTGGTTTTTAAAAACCTACAAATATAGCCATTTTTAAAGAGCATGTTTTTCTCCCCTGTTCATTGCCTGGGAGAATGGAATTTTATATAATTACCTTTCTTTGCAGAAATAACAATGTTGAGTTGCTGGTGATTGCGGGCACTCTGTCATTCATTGGTATCTAGTATAGGCTTAGAAATGATAAGTCAGGAAATGATTTTGCCAGTCAAGTTGCAAGGAGTACTACTTTTTCTCTCTTTAAAAAAATATCCTGGAGAAGCAGGAGTGTGTAGAAATTGTTAGGTCAGTTTCGGGTGCTTATATTTAGTATTTTTTCCACTGCAGTGGGACATAGCAGTTCTTTTAACCTGCATCCAGATATAACGAACATCGTTTATCTATCTTAGAGTGGGTGAGACTGGCTTCCTTTTGCGTGATGGGTGGGGATTGTGTAGGCTTGGTAGAATATGTATTCTGTGAAGTTTGCTAATGTTCGTATTAGATTGTATTGGATTTTTTTCCCCTGGAATTGCAAATGGTATTGTTAGATAGGTTACTTCCAACTTAATGAGAAAATATCCAGAGTAAATGTGTTTAATTCTCCATGGATTCTGTGAAAGCTTAACGGTCAGAAATTGGTGAATTGTAAGGGAGGAGATATTCTCTACCATATTTTTATAATAGCATGTTATTCCTGTTTCCTGTCTAAAGAACACTTAATTAGATAGCAAAACTTCTACAGGTTGACTAAAATGTTTGTAGGTGTGGCCATCCAGTTATAGGAAATACCCTGTTTCAGCTCTGTGATAGACAGTTATCCTCCACCACAGCTACATGTAGGAGGAAATCCCCTGTTGGCTACTCTTTTTATAAAGGGCGTGGCTTAAACCCTTCACTCTCTAACATGCACAGGGATTCCTTACCAGGTTAATACCACTTAATCTCTCATTCTTTGACAGGTGAGAGAAAGTAAATCATGTTTGTGAATCTTTTCTTTGACTTTGTATTTCCTTATTACTGTTAATAAGCTTATGGGCACTTCTGGACTGCAACATGTTGAGAAGTTACAGACTAAAGAACTAAAACAAAAAGCCCTGACCCAAAAGATCACTTTTATTTGGCTCAGAGTGTTCTTGGCATTTCTGCTAAAGTTTGCAGAAAGTACTATACACTGACCTAGTTTTTCTTTATTGCAGACCATTCCTGAGACTTTTATCCCAATTAAAGGATCTTAGAGGGAGGAAATACTTGCTTATGACTTTCGCATTTTTTCCCACAAACTTTAATATTCTTGAGCACTTGAAAATATTTTAAAGAAATTCTAATCGTGAGCTAATATAGTTTATTAGAAATATTCTGCTCATATTTGCCTCCATTGTGGTATAAATTCTGAAAAAATTACATGGACATGATAATAGTATATGATTATTAAAAATGAGATGAAATATTGTCCAAGTGGCTTAACCTGTTCTGATGACCACAACAGTGTGATTTCTTTAGCAGAGAAAGTTGTTTTTAAAAATAAATAGTACCACTTTTCTAAGAAAATAAGAGCTTCTTTTTGCTTTGTTGTTTTCCTCTTCTATTACATATTAATGGAAAAGCTATAGAAAATTCAGTGCAGGTACTAATGAAGACACTAGTGTAAGTTTAAAGGAACATATGACTGTAAAAACTCATGAAGTGCTTGGTTCTTCATATTCCACATGCATGTTTTAGAATAGATTTTAGGGAGTATTTAATTCATTTTCCTTTTGGCATTTTTCTTTATTTTGTTATCAACTTCCCAGGACTTAGATGATACACAAATACAGATCCCAGGGGATGTGTTGTGATGCTGGACTAAAAGGTGGGAATGCGCTGCTGTCCAGAGTGAGCCATGTTCCAGTGTTGAAAATTCAATGCCTCAGTGTTTATTCAGTACCACCTCATGGAGCGTCAGTGTACACGGATTATATGTATAATTGGTTATTTATATAGTTTTGTAGATCTGTAGATAAATGCCCTCGTTCATTTTTATATGTAATTGTGCTTGGAGTATTTTTGTGTTTTATTCTTTGACTTCAACAGGGTCTTGTACGTTATATCTTTGGTGATTTGAAATATCAGGAAAGACAAATTTTCAGAAATGAGAATAATACAGTTGAAATCAGCTTAGCTGAAATATTCTATAGCAAGACAATTTCTTTTGGGTGAACTGATTCCATAATTAATTACTCTTGATGTAAGGATTCAGTTTATTGTGGAGTTGCTTTCCAGACTGTCACTTTATAGTTTTTCTACATAAAGATTATATAGTTGCAAACAAAGGTTGTGGAATTTCCTTTTTGTTGTTGTTTTTTGACTTTTAATTACTTTAATAAAATACGTTGTTTTCATAGCAAACTTTAGACTGTTCATGTAATTTTCTCCATACAGTTTTTCTAATGTAAGCCCAGCAAACCATATCTAGTTTTCAGCAGCGTTATCCCAAGTGAAATAAGTGATGTGTCATATTTATCAGTTATAGCTAAAATGTTACTACATTTTACATGTTTAAACCATAATAAAATATTGTCATGATAGATGATTTTTTTTTTTTTTTTTTGGGTACGCGGGCCTCTCACTGCTGTGGCCTCTCCCGTTGCGGAGCACAGGCTCTGGATGCGCAGGCTCAGCGGCCATGGCTCACGGGTTCAGCCGCTCCGCGGCACGTGGGATCTTCCCGGACTGGGGCACGAACCCGTGTCCCCTGCATCGGCAGGCGGACTCTTAACCACTGCGCCACCAGGGAAGCCCTAGATGATTTTTTTGATAAGGAAATTTTAGTTCTTTATTGGTTCCACTTTCTAAAGAAAGTTTGTTCTGTTTTATGGAGGCAATTTTCAAACATATATGAAAGTAGAATAATAGGATGAGCATTCCTAGTACCCATCGGTCTGCAAATACCAAGTTATTAGTCTCTAAATGTCTCTGTTTTCTTTTTTAAAACATAACCACAGTATCATTATCACATTAAAAATAATTTATTGGTTCCTTTAAAGTCTTTTAAATTGTGGTAAAATACTTATAACAAAATTTACCATCCTAACCATTTTTGGGTGTACAGTTTAGTCGTGTGAAGTATGTTCACATTGTTATGCAACCTGTCTCCAGAACTTCTCATGGTACAAAACTGAAACTGTGTACCTATTAAACATTACTCCCCCATCCCCACACCTGGCAACCACCATTTTTTACTTTCTGTGAGTTTGACTACTTCAGATACTGCATGCAAGTAAGTGGAATCATACAGAACTTGTCTTTTTGTGACTAGCATATTTCACTTAGCATAATGTCCCTTCAGGTTCATCCATGTGGTAGCATGTGCATTGATTCTTTTTTAAAGCCTACTTTTTCTTTTAAAATTTCTATATTTTCTTATAGAATTTGAAAAGTTTTTTCTGCAAATGGCACATTAGCATTTTCTATTTTGAGTAAAAACTTAAAAAAGAAAACAGAGTAATACCAAGTATATATGCCAACCACTGACTTTTTTTTATCACTTTTGTGCTGTGTTCTCTTTAAATGATTATATATGATATGATTTCACATCAACATATCATAGCATGGGGTGCAAAATACACTTTCAAAGCATATGTGATTTTGAAATTGTAGTGTATTAATATAAATGACCATACTCAAATGCTTTTTTAGCTTATTTATTGCCTGATGAAAAGGAAACTAAAATTCTGGCATTTAGTATACTCAGTGTTTAGATTAGACACTCATTTTGCCACAAAGGAAAAAAAAAACTTTTGTTTTAATTTTTTTAGTTATTTTTTCCTATTAGAAAACACAGAGCATGAAACTGTTTAGAATAAAGAACTTACTTTTTGATTTTTTTTTTCTGCGGTACGTGGGCCTCTCACTGTCGTGGCCTCTCCCGTTGCGGAGCACAGGCTCCGGACGCGCAGGCTCAGCAGCCATGGCTCACGGGCCCAGCCACTCTGTGGCATGTGGGATCTTCCCGGACCGGGGCACGAACCCGTGTACCCTGCATTGGCAGGCGGACTCTCAACCACTGCACCACCAGGGAAGCCCTACTTTTTGATTTTTAAATGAGATGTGGCATAGCATAATGGAGGAAGAGGAAGAGGCTGGTCTGTGGCCTTATATTTGAACTTATTTGAACTTGAATACCAGCTCTTCCCCACTATTAGCTCTGTGATCCTTTGGAATCTATTCTTGCCTATAAGATGGCAATAACCTTGCCTGTTTATTTTAAGGATGAAATCACATGTAAATGACTGGCGTGTAGTTGTCATGTGGTGGTAGTTTAATAAACTTTCAGTATTCCTGGACACTAGTGATGGGAACATCTTTTAACTAAAAATAGATCAACACTACAATTCTGTAGTACTGGTACCTTTAAAAGATACATTTGTGTACTTGATTTGTATTTAGTTAACAGATTTTGTGGACTTACACTTGGGGATATGTTGCTTTGTTGCACACTGAATATCACTTCATAATTTGCTGTCAAGTCTTATAGATGACATTTAATTCTTGATCTCCTTTGAGAAAAACATTTTCATTAAGCAGGTTTTTAAAGATACTTTTTAAATTGTCATTTATTATTATGGAATTCCACTAACCAAAGTTCCTGAAAGGAAGCTCATAAAGCAAAATCCAAATGTAAACAGCTTAAATAGGGTATATGGTGGAAAGAGCCTGGAAAATAGTATAAAATAGGATGAAGCACTCACTGGATTCTTTGACCAAGTTCAAAGTTAAAACAAAAGCTATACCAGTTACCAGAGCTGAGCAACAGTATGCGATATTCACAGAACATGTGGACAGAGAACAGCATGAGGGAAGACCAAAAAGAGGGTTAGTGACGTGAGGGTAATTGAACTCCTGTGTTTTGTGTATATTTGCAAGTTACGACTTGTATTTTCAGATTATGCAGAAATAAGAAATGTACCCTAAAACTACTTTTAGAAAGGAGAACTGAAACTATATAGAATTTGAAAAGGAAATTACACTTTAAATTCTACTCAGAAATAATGGCTTTGTAGTAAGATACCTTTCAGGACATTTGTAATGATCTTTGGAGTTCTCAACAGCTGCACCAACATGAATCTAGAAGAGCAAAACTTTGCTTAAAAACACTATTTCGTTCTCCATATAGCTGAAACATTGAAATCGAAACGAGTAAGTACCTCACTATCCATTGGCTACCTTAAGCAGCTTAAATAGTCCTGTTACATGAAGTGCTATTAGATGATTTTTCTTTCAGCATATTTTGTTTCTTTGCTGCAATAGCTATTGGGTGTGAGCAGTTTGTTAAACAGCATTTAGGAAGATGCTTTTCAGATGGTTTTTAGCCATGCTAAAGTTGTTTTTTTTTTTTTTTTTTTTTGCGGTACGCGGGCCTCTCACTGCTGTGGCCTGTCCCGTTGCGGAGCACAGTCTCCGGACGCGCAGGCTCAGCGGCCATGGCTCACGGACCCAGCCACTCCGCG